AAAACTATTCTTTTAAATTGACGACGTTTCAATGAATGATTATCACCTCTTTAATATTCGTTAACCATAACATTCATTTGTTTAAAATAAATTTGAAATTTCGAATCAAATAGGTATTATTTAAAATTATAAATAATCGATTCGATACAATTTTCCTGTCTTTACATTGAAGTTGCATCGTGTCTTGAAATTTGAGCCATGGCAAATTTTGTAAATCAATATTGACCGTCTGACCTTAACCCGTATCTAATTGTAAGCCAAACATAAATCAATAATGAAGAAAGATTGCATTTCCCTTTTTTAAGTGCATTTGAGTACAGTATACAAAAATATGATGCAGAATATTTAAAAATTTTCAGATTACAGAGTAATATTTTCGAGTTTATAAATTTTTGAACCTTGTAATGTTCATATTTTTGTATTCAAAATTTGAATACTCAAATTTTGGAATTTGCAGGTTTTCAAATTTTTAATACTACTATTATTTGTACTATTTTTTTTTAATTCTCAAATGTGGGTTTTTAATGTTATTGGATATATTTTTGATATACATTTTCAAACGTGAAGCAATTTTAATTAAAACACATCGTATATATTTTCAATGCGCATGCGCTGTACGTACCACACGCATGCGCACTGCGCATCACCGTTCAAGAAAAACAATGTGTATCTTTGGGTATATACTTTAATTCGAACAGTATTTGCAATTCTGTTAAAATTGCATTTCCAAGCAAGATATATTTTAGTTTCCCTAATTTAAAATAAAAATTATTTTAAAAAATAGTCGTATCAAAATTTTTTCGTCGTTCTCTCAATTCGGAAAGAATTTAAATTGCATGGGGGAATACAGCCAATTAAACTCTGCGTCGATTGCTATTTTTTAGCATTGAAAATTCCATTTGGAGTGGAAAGGTACTCGATGACATATAACCTATGATTTGTTTGATAAAAATGACGTTGTTTTTCGATATATTCAATCCGGGACAGCGCGGACGCTGGTCCCGACTACCAAAAATTGTGCGCTCGACATACCCACATTAGGAGTATTCGCAAGGTTCAGCCCTAGCAAAGTGCAATGGTAGGGCCTCGCCCAGAAGGAACCGCCTTCCTGATCACGGTGTCCTCCGCGCCAAGTAAGTTATAACACTGTTTCTTGCACGATAAATTATATCGCAACCACTATTCATTCTTCTCGCGAGAAAAACGAATGTCATCTAGTGGCCAAAATTCGATCCTCTCTGGAAACGATCGATGTTTGCTGATCTTTGTTCAACGTGCCCATTGATCTTTTGTCCAAAACGTTGGGAACATGCCCAAAGAATAAAAGAATAACTTCCCGATTGATTCCATTATCGATCTTCACCATAGACTGCGATTTTGATCGAATGCTTTTTTGTTCGGTTCAAAAAACGCGCCATTTTTTCGCTTATAGTAATAGTAACGGTTCCAATTTTGGAAACTCAAAATGGCGGATAAAATTGTCAATATTTAATCTCAACAAGATTTTTTAATTTTTACAATAATAATTTTTAATTTTAATATCAGATTTTTAAATTATATATCAGTTTTTAATTACTTGACAAACTTGTTCGATTTTTACTAAAAAACACTTTGTAAAAAAATACTTGTGCTTTTCATTATCACTTCAGTTTTCAATTTGCATTTTTTGCTTTTTTAATTATTAAGTACACCTGTTCAATTTAACTGAAATTCGATAACAACGTGCATGAAGATTTTATAATCAATTATATTATCGATATATATACAGCCAGTGTTTAGTTACGATAAGTTCAACGTCAACAAAGTCTACCAGGGTATGGCAGGAGAATGAGTCAAACACAAGCCTGTCATTGGAACTGATAGTAACGAAGAAGTCAAGTATCCTATTTCTCAAACGTGAATGATACATTTTCTCAGCAACGTTGATAAAGGCATAAATAACTAACGTTCAAAGAAACTAAAAGAAACTTAGTTTTTGATTTTTGGAAAAAATTAGTTTCAAAATTTTGTAAATGCAAATCAAATTTGATCTCTGAAAATTTTCTGATCAATGTAATTATTATTAAAAATTAAAATGTAGTTGTTTTATAGTATGCATAAAAATAATTTTGATTTAATACATTTTACAATAACACCATCTAGTATATTGCATTCAAGGAAATTTTAAAAAAATTGTTATTATGAGTAAAATATATTATAATATTAAAATTATCAATATTAATGTATATTATTATAGTATCAATAAATACAGCTATTTCTGAAATCTGTATAATTAAAAAAATATACACTAATGTACACTGAAAGGTACATCAATAATAAGTACATTGTAGAAGAATTATTAAGTATATATACAAAGTAACATATAAAGTTATTTTTCTTTTGAAACGTCCTGTATAATGTTTGATCCATATCCAACAAAAATGCACTGCACATAAATAGCACACCAATAATTAATCAATATTTACAGATACACTAAGGTGTACATGTATAAACAGTAGCAAACAAATTCTTGACACCGGTTCCGGTATGCCTACTCCTAAAACCGACGCGTGTTTATCGGAAAACAGCTCCCATTTAACTGTCAATCTCCACGATCCGTGTAATTAATTCGTATTACAAGAGCTACCTTTTACTCGTGGGTTGCGATATACAAGTGTTACAATCGAATCTCAGAACGAGAGGACTAAAAGACAATTACAGGAAAAAAAATAATAATTTGAAAAAGTTACAATACCTTTCACAAATTTCTAAACTTTCCAATTATTCTGAAATTACAAAATTTTCTATTGTAGTGAAAGATACTATGCCTTATAACGCTTGGTTTCACACAACCGGATTATACTCTCTTATACAAGAAACTTTGTATGCAAATTTTTCTCTGATTTCGCAAAACTGTTTTACAATTGCTATGCAATCTTACAACTATAATTTAGGGCCCTTATAATCGCTTGAAGTGTGGACCCAACCCGTGTTCCGAGGTCGTGCCCTCCCCTAACCATTCATAATCTTGACAGGAAAACCGAAAGAGATTACTTTTTTTATGCGCAAACAGGAGTACAACGTGCGCAATCGATGTTTACATACCGCGATATTGATCGTTCAAAGAAGTTGATCCCGCAAGAATAAACGTGCGCGAGAAGGACGAGCGAGTAAACCGTGTCTGGAAAGGTCGCATTTACATCGAAATCGATAACTGTGAGAAGCAACCGGCAGGAGGGGGTCTCTGTCTTTGATCGCCACGGTACACAATATCATCATCATTACGATACCTGTTCAACCTGACTCATTCGGCGACAGGTAAGTGCACCAGGTTCCTCGGAAACAGTCGGTAAGAAATCACGATTAAACTCACCTGTCGAACCGCCGGTGGAGCTCCGTGGCCGACGATTACAAAACTCCCGCGGCACTTCTACAGCGACGAGATCTTCGAGTGTCAAATCTTCGTGTAAACTGGCGTTCGAAAAGGAGGACAGAAAAAGAGTAGTCCGACGGTGGTGAGTGGAAGAATAGAGAGTGAGAGAACGATAGCGGGAGAAAAGGTGGGGGAAGGACGAACGCCGAGGGAGAAAGAGAGACAGAGGGAGTGACAGGAGCCGTCAGAAAAGATAATAATGCCGCAATCAGCGAAACCAGTAACGCGAAAATCCGCGGGCGACAGTTAACGGCTGTCGGCTGTTTGCTTAGGCCGCGGCTACCTCGGAAAGAGCACACGGCGCACAGGTTTCTCTTTCACAGCGGCATTTTCACCGATCAACCCGAGACCGGACACCGAGATCCGCAACGCAGCGAAAAACCCCCAACCGGGGCCCCGTTTTCGTAAACACTTGACTCGGACTATCCGCGTATCGGGAGCGACCGTAGCTCAACGCGCATGCGCCTTCTTACCGTAACGCGCACGCGTCACCGTTCGCTACCGCTGCTCTTATCAGTGTACTGCTCTATTACCGCTTAACTGGAAACGACGGAAACCTGTGCGGTGACACCACAATGTAGGTGTGTAAAGGTACGAACACATTTTACTATCACGGCCACGTGAAATCACGAGCAATACATTCATAAACTAAAATATACTGTTCAACTCCGATAACTCGAGCCTCACGGGAAGAGCTCATTTTCGATAGAGGTTTCGATTTATCAAGAGTTTTCAAGAACAGGTGTTTTAGAGACAATAATTTAATTCACTACTTTTATAGTATGGCGGTTAATATTTTTCTGAATGTACAAGTTTAATATTTGAACATGAATTAATAGTTTGAAGAAGAGAGATATCGAATGATTGGTTTTTAACATCTTGAGATATAAACTTCGAGCTACAAACAACTATAAACTTCGAGTTTCAAAGCGGAGATGGAAGTTCGATTTATAGAGGTGAATTTCGACTTGCAAAAGTTTGGTTATTGAAATTTTTATTTACAAACGGAAGACAATGCATTTGAATATGTAGCAAATAACTTGAGTTTTATTTCAACTTGTACAGGTTTTCAAAGTGGAACAGAAAGGAATGAACAAAACTTTATTTTATAGAGGTTTGGAGATATTTAGATTCGATCGTACAATTCTTATGGTCGGCCACATTTGACGCACAACTGAGGGGACACGTGCCACGGTGTCATTTTACACGAAAACTTGTTTTGCTTTTATTAGGTGACCAGAGTTAGTAGATGCTTGAGTAAATTAATTCTCAATGTAGTATGCTCTTTTTCCATGTATAACACTGTAAAGTCACGTAATTCCACGTGGCGTGATATTTATGTGTTCCTATCTTAAAGTTATTCGCTGTACAAGGTCGGTTAATTAAAGCACCCCATACTTTGATTATGATGACATTTATTTTCATATCATGGAATAATAGAATTACATATATAGATTAAATCAATAAGTAAAAAATTTAATAAATGGAACATACTTTTCTCAATCATATATTTCATAGGTATTTTTTAATAAGAAATTTCATAAAATGAACATGTATATTAAACAAACGTAAACACTTGACTCGGACTATCCGCGTATCGGGAGCGACCGTAGCTCAACGCGCATGCGCCTTCTTACCGTAACGCGCACGCGTCACCGTTCGCTACCGCTGCTCTTATCAGTGTACTGCTCTATTACCGCTTAACTGGAAACGACGGAAACCTGTGCGGTGACACCACAATGTAGGTGTGTAAAGGTACGAACACATTTTACTATCACGGCCACGTGAAATCACGAGCAATACATTCATAAACTAAAATATACTGTTCAACTCCGATAACTCGAGCCTCACGGGAAGAGCTCATTTTCGATAGAGGTTTCGATTTATCAAGAGTTTTCAAGAACAGGTGTTTTAGAGACAATAATTTAATTCACTACTTTTATAGTATGGCGGTTAATATTTTTCTGAATGTACAAGTTTAATATTTGAACATGAATTAATAGTTTGAAGAAGAGAGATATCGAATGATTGGTTTTTAACATCTTGAGATATAAACTTCGAGCTACAAACAACTATAAACTTCGAGTTTCAAAGCGGAGATGGAAGTTCGATTTATAGAGGTGAATTTCGACTTGCAAAAGTTTGGTTATTGAAATTTTTATTTACAAACGGAAGACAATGCATTTGAATATGTAGCAAATAACTTGAGTTTTATTTCAACTTGTACAGGTTTTCAAAGTGGAACAGAAAGGAATGAACAAAACTTTATTTTATAGAGGTTTGGAGATATTTAGATTCGATCGTACAATTCTTATGGTCGGCCACATTTGACGCACAACTGAGGGGACACGTGCCACGGTGTCATTTTACACGAAAACTTGTTTTGCTTTTATTAGGTGACCAGAGTTAGTAGATGCTTGAGTAAATTAATTCTCAATGTAGTATGCTCTTTTTCCATGTATAACACTGTAAAGTCACGTAATTCCACGTGGCGTGATATTTATGTGTTCCTATCTTAAAGTTATTCGCTGTACAAGGTCGGTTAATTAAAGCACCCCATACTTTGATTATGATGACATTTATTTTCATATCATGGAATAATAGAATTACATATATAGATTAAATCAATAAGTAAAAAATTTAATAAATGGAACATACTTTTCTCAATCATATATTTCATAGGTATTTTTTAATAAGAAATTTCATAAAATGAACATGTATATTAAACAAAAGTGTTAATACGTTTTGAACGCGCAACCTCGGTATTTCAAAACAAGCTTAACCATTTCGCCACATCCGCTTACTTAATTTTGATCAGTGGAGTAACAATTCGATGTACATTATTTAAGTCATTATTTCTTGTAAACGGTTATTCGTTGCATCGAATGATTTGACATGTTTTCATGTTATATAAACCTCTTTCAGTTCACCAACGATGATCTAAATCGGCGTCCCCCTATTCATGACCTCCCCTTGCTGGATGCAATATAAGATTCCCAGCATTATTAAATCCGACTTTCTTGAAGTCTCATGTAATAAACACATTTTATCGTTGATCTTATCATCGTTATCACTACAAATAGTAAGAGTTTAATTCCTCATGCAAAACAAAATTATTGTACCGAGCTATTATAAACAATGACAAAGTTTTATCGAGTAAATGAAACATACAGCTGTAAATAAAATTTACTCAAGAATAGAATAAACAATATTTTCATTAGTAACATAATTGAATTCTTTTTACAAATGATTTTATAATTTATTAGCTAATCATATAAGTTAGGTCACTTCTAGAAAACTTTCTTAGATAAGCATATCTCGCCAGAATTTTCTTATAACTTTTACCAAATTAAACGTGTGATATGCATTATAAAAAGTTTGTTTACTGTTAACTATTCTTTTCACTTTGGCTTATCAGTAGTGATAAATCCACTTCTACGATGGATCTGGAACAAGAATCTGAGGTGTCCGACCTTCGAGCATATCGTGGAGAAGAACACCGATTTCCTTGAAACAAATTATTATCATTTGAATATTAAAAAAAATTATATGTTAATATCAGAAGTATTTTAGTAGATGTTTCTAAGTGTTTTGTTATTGCCAATTGTATTGTACAGTGTATTACTACATTTTTTATGGGCACACATTGTACAGTAGGCTCTCCTAGGGAAAATGGCGGTATGGGGAAAAAGCCCCCATCACTTACTCAGTTTTTAATTTCTAAGTTTTCAAATTTAGAAACTTGGTGATCCAAAAACTTGAGAGATTGAAAATTCAGAAAATTTGATGATCTGGGAACTTAAGGATTTGAAAATTTGTAATTAGCATGCATTAGATCAACATACATTCTATTGTCACTGATCTCTATTTATATTGCCAATTCCCAGAATTCTACAATTTCATCAACGGCAATATAACAAGAACCACTACGATATTAATTTATGCTGTGTAGTACCATCTTCTGCAGACATCCTATAAATAAAATGGCGTAACATACCTCTTCCCTCTGAGCCCGCAGTTTATCAATAATTGGTTCATTAAAATTGAAGTCGTTGCTTGGATCCTTTAAGATGATATCATTATTCTTTGATTCCTGCGGGATAGAAGCTACGTAAACGTGTTTGATGGCGTCCAAGATAGCTGCAGGTCGTGTCGGAGGAAATTGTAAATCGATCGATGAGAAGCAATCTGTACCCGGGGCTATCGTTAATGGCTTCTCGAAGTCTACGCATTTGCTATTACTGCTTTCAATTTTTCGAGACTATCAAAATACTGTTCGAAACACGTTATCGATATTTTGAAATAACGCAGAAACTCACGAAAGTTGCGTGCCAAATCCGTAGTGAGATAATATGTCTTTAGTTTGTCGTACGAGCATCTTATCTTTGGAAGAATGATAATAGAGACCTGCTTCCAGAGTGTGAGCTATAGCTCTTAATGTTTTTCCGATTAATTCTCTTTTACCCGTATCTAAACCCTTTTTAAAGTTGCCAAATTAATAATTGTAGCCATAATTTTTTGGAAGAAAAAACGCGTCGGTACCTTAAACTGATCATATTTTCCTCCGATAATGCATAACTTCAATGGAAAAGGGTCTACTTCTTTTTCCAACGATTTCTTACGTTCATTAATTCGCCGCTGCTTGAGATCCTGAATCGTTCTGTCGTCGTAACTCATTTTCATGGCGCTACGAATTATCGAGAAAATTTCTTCGAATGTCGTCCACAAAGATTCCGGTTCCGATAAGTCCAACATCAATAATATCGTGGTATGAGCAGGAGAATGGGTTAAAGAAACGCCTGACATTGCTGCTGACATTAATGAAGAACTCAAGTATCCTATTTCCCAAATGTGAACGACATTTTTTATCTGCGGCGGTGATAAAAATTTTGTTTAAATTATGATCATAGGTAATATGCGAGTCAGTGATTTGTACTCTAGTCTACATAATTAAACTATAAAAATAAATTCACACAAATAATATAAAGAATGAAATGTTTAAAATGTGTAAAATAAATATATTTTCATAAATATCTGCAATCAAATTGAAACATATATTCCATATAAAGTTATATTATTACATAGGGGTTCATTTTTACATATATTTAAAGTCTTAATATACTCATAAAAAGTGATGTATCTGGTCACATAAGATTTGCTTTTTTATTGTGAACGTAATTTGTTAATCGTTATTTGCTTAAAATTTTACAGGTAAAAATAACACTTGTTGAAACTTGTCTCGCTTAACTTTGACATTTCCGAAACTATAGATCGTAGAATATATATGTATTTTTACCATAAATCGATTATCTTCGTTATTAATATAACAAGGTTATCTGCACTTTTTTATTAATAATCTAATTAATTTGAACACCGTAAACGATACAAATACTTCGTAATAAAATTAATTTCAATTAATCCGTTATCAAACGGTGATCTTCATGATTTACTTGGTATGACTTGTTTTATTTAATCTGTGGTTTACAACGAAATTGTTATAAAAACTTACTAAACTCTTTCCGATTTTACGACCGTAGGAGTAATCAATCGCGATTGTTGGCTTTGGTGTCTCGTCCTTTTCAAGAAACCGATGTACGATCGTTGTTTTACCCTAAGAATTCATATTTCTTTTTCGTATACACAAGACACATAATTCTTTGGTGACATTATTTAAGATTTTTACTTGTAACATTACGTACAACATTCTTGCTACCAACAACGATGATCGAACGTTCGTGTGATTCGTTTGGGTCGGTTTTACGTCGATTTTCTTCTTCGAAACAAAGGGATAATGCGGTGTTCCTAATATTTTCATCTCTAGAACATAATCATACGATATTTTGATATCTGCCTCATTCTACAACACAATTAATATTTTATAATCACATCAAATTATTACAAGTAACAATTGAAATAAAAAGATAATGCGTAGACAATGCTTGATCGTATATTATACTTCATAGAATTGTTTTAACAAATAAATATCTAATTTGTAACGCCTCCTATATTTGTTATTAATAATAAGAGTCAGTAAGTACGTACAAATTCTTTTCTGCCATTGAATTCAACTAGACGCAATTGAATATTTAGTTAGCACAGCACTTTTGCGTATAGAGGTTATGAGAATGTTATTACATTGGATGCCATGGTAACATAGAAAGGTCTACTCACAAAACTTGCAAATTGTATTCAATAATAATTCATTTTTACTGTTAATAATCTATTAATGAAAATAAGTTAATAAGAACAGTACATATGTATATAAAAATGTTCAGTTCAATTAGAGTAATGACACGATACCACTTCTTTTATGTTGTACATATGTCACATGTTTCATTATTTATATTATACTTAGGTTTTTATTAGTTAACAATGTTTTACTCTTTATTCTTTCAAGGAAAATTCTAATTTAAAAGAAGAAATAAATAAGTTTATGTTCAAATCTTGGTCCTTATATTACATGATTACTACGCACTTTGCAAAATTAAACTAATTTGGAATATTTCTGCTAGTAACAGTTTTCACTGCTAACTTATTCTATTACAAATGAATTCATTAAATTTACTATCTATTGGTATACGGAAAAATACTTTTCTACCAATTAGGTAATTTTATCTAATATTCGTACTTATTGTATAAAATTATATAATTGAACACTATGGTATGTGCAATTATTTAGGACACAAAACATATGTAATAAATCTTAATAAAAGAAATTAAATTAATTTATAATTTAAAGTATTATTAACGACAGTCGATGTGATGTATATTTTTTAAAATATTAAAGTGGTTCATAAAAAAGTGATCTTTTTCCAAATTTTATGGTACTTGATTTCATAGGACCTTATAAGTAAAATAATAGCAAATATTTTTATGAATATCATTGCAAGCCACATTTGTTTAAATTCGTAAAAATAGCAATAGTTACTGAAATATGAATTCATATGAAGGAAGACGACAATAAATATTAGTCACCTTTTTCTACAATATTTCATCGCTTCTATTATGCAGTATATCACACGCTCTGCATGTTATCTGGTCCATATGTCACTCATCCAATTATCATCTAACTCGTTAGTTGGTAACACTTTTAATTTCCGTAATGCTTCAAGGTAAAAAGTAAGTTCTGATGTGACTACACCATGTTGTGGACCACCATTATTCACTATATTCATTTTAACTAATTGCTCTCTAAGTTTTTCCTTAAAAGACGTATTTACTGTACGATATAGAGTTTGTACTTCAACTGCTGGGAGGATTCCAGAAACTGCTTCGTGGAGTTTCATTAAATAACTGTAACCAATAATCAGTGCCCTTAATCAGTGTAAATTCATTTTATATTACACTATCTTTATCACAATATATATTTACCTAGAAATGTTTCTAAACGACTTTGAAGGTACTGGTGGCCTAGCTGTCCATTTCGATATTTGACCACCCAATAGATTGTCAACGATGGTAAGAATCTTATTATCGATTTCCTTTATATGAGCATGAATATCTCTTTCCACACTATCCAATAAAGCAACACCGCCACTTATACTAGATGCACCATAACCGCGACTAGGATTTTGTTCCGCAAGATCTATGATATGGATCATTACATTAATATAGTTCTATTATCTGTTTACACTTATGTAAAATTTGACTTACTTTGGAAATGTGACTTCACAAAAGGCATAAACCACAGTATTAATTTCAAACTACGCGCTGCTAACACAAGTATTGTACTGGTAATAGTTTTTAAACCCGCAACTTGCATCGCTTCTGCGCCAAGTACAAGTTGACAACAACGACAATTATAATGTCGCAGTAATTCAGCTAAATGCCTTCCAATCGTTCCGGACAAAGCAATCAATTCACTTCCGGTTCTAAATATAAATTCGATTTAGTATTTCATTAGACGTATACAAAATATTTACAATTTTAAACGTTACCTGCAATATTCGTGAATCATTTGTATAAGCATTAAAGCTGTACCTACAACAGCGTACTTTTCATCTCCTACTAGAATAAAATTCTGAATATCATCCTTTTGTACTCTGCTTTCTGTTTTCAACAGAGTCGGTGGAAAACATTTATTTTCATACACGTATGTCACTAATGACTGAAACTCTGATGGAACATCTGCTTGTTTCCATCTTTCAGATTCCAATAAAAGAGTGAGCTTTGTTTTGAGTTCAATGTGAAATCTTCGAATGAATTTACTAGCTTGAGCCTGCGATGTAACAAAAGTGTTAGTTGTTAATATTAGATAAATATCACGTATCTAAAATTGAGTGTACCTTAAATGCGGATCGTAACCCCGTGCATTGTTTTCCACAAAGTTTTTCACAAGTTTCTGTGAATTCTTCCACCAGATTGGCTAACTGACATACTTGATATGTCGTTGCTCTCTTACTCAGCCAAGAAGACTTATCATTCCAATTTTGATCTTCCTTCTCTTCCATTTTATTATTTGAATTTTCGTTATTAGACTTGTCTTTCTCGTTTTGCAACTTATCTTTGTCATTTGTACCTGCGGACAGCAGATTTCCCATTCGCTCATGACAATAATCACAAATGGAAATTATCATGTCATTGAGTTTGGTCGTTACTCGCGAATGTTCTGCTGGAGTTAATAAACGATCGGGTATAGCATCATCAAAAGAGCCATCGCATACTCGACCTGCCGCAAGATCTACTGTATCTTGCATTACATTATGAACAGCCTAAATATATACACTGCATTAAGTATGAATTTTTTGAGTTACAATTAAAATCATTTCTGTACATAATGTTCTAGTAAGAAGTGATAAATATAACATGATCAACAATATAATCTTGTACATACCTTAATTCGCATAAGAAGGAATGTTAAGGATTGTATAGCATTATGAAGTAACGTTAATCTTTCTGCAAGAGAAAGTCCACCAACTTCTAAGGCTGCGGCTTGCTGATCACTGCAACAATCACTTGCCGCTAAAGCTTCTATGACTCTTTGTTTTGTTACAGCTCGAATTGTCGTTACAGCTTCTTCTTTATACGTGTCCACAAATTGGAATTGTTTTTGTCGTAGAAGGCCAGATATGATGGAAACAAGTTTATCCTGTTCGTTGAGGATGTACAAATGATCTCACTAGGAAGAGATGGACGACGGTTTGTTTGCTACGAACTAGGTTTATAAAATGTATAAAATTACACATGCACTTACACCATCCAAGACAATATTTTCTCCCCCTAATGGTCTATTTAAATCCGCAGTTGCATATCTTTGGAATTCAGTAGATAACATTTTATCTACAAGTTTCTCCATTTCTGTTAGCTGAGAACTTAAATGCCTAAATGTGAAAAAAAATTATATATTTGTATTTATTAGACATGGTATATATTATTGTGTCTCTTTGAATTATTTCTATTTCATATCATTTGTATAAATACCTAAAACTATGCACCCCATTTAATTCCTGTAAAAGTATCTCTTGCGTTGTAGCAATGAGATCTAAGGCTGCAACATAATCTGGTGTAGACAACAATAACTGTATCATTGGCTGACTTTGATGTACTGTAGCCATCAGTTTCAATTTTTTTTGAACTATTAATCGATTGGATCTTGCTCGTTCCAAACTAAAAACATAGTTTAAAAATAAACTAAACTCTTATCAAAAATAACATTTGTAAATTTATTATTTACCGTAAAATTTCTAAAGAATCATTGACTAGATGTTTATCAACTTGATGTATATTTTTCCTAAGAGCTTTTAAAACTGTAATTGTTTGTGTAAGTTGTTCCATCAGGGCATCATGGGAAGTCATAGCATGGAAAAATGCTTGTGACTTGGAAGCAACTTGTTCTGCTATTCTAACTTCCACAACATCTAAATAATGACTTAACTATTATAAAAATTAATTCAGTATCCATTAGTTGCTTTATTTTTTGAACATGATATAGTGACAATAACTATTAGTATACCTTTTCTTGCATTTGTTTTACATTCATAACAATGTTAGATTCCTCATTTAACAATCCATTTTTTGCAAATGGAAATACAGCATAAAAATTATCTTTCTGAGAAAGATCTAGATTGGGCGTTAAAAATATTTTTGGAATACTAGATAAATCAAACTGCATTCGATCTAAAATTATAGAGCATGATAGAAACACAATTTTATTATAAATTTATATATTCAGTAGCATTATTCATACCTAACGATTTAACTTTTCTTAAATTTGGAAAAGTCTGTAATAATTCATTAGGAGTAGCTGGTGTAGTAATACTTGAATTCATACGAAAATGTTTTCGATATCTCTGTGAATAAAAGATTTATTCTTTTTCAAATTAAACTTAACTTTTGTTAAAATCTATATTACTTACCCTTGCAATCTTTTTTAAATACGTTTCAAAATGTTGCATAGTAATTTCAGGTAGATAAGGACTTTTAGGTATATCAACTTTTTCTACAAAACCATCTCCCCAAGTACGAGTTAGGAAGTTACTTTGTTTTCCTTTAAATGGATCATTTAAAACAGCTGGTAAATTTTGGGCTGCTGAATACACAGTCCATGAGGAAGATGGTTCTGATAAATGACCATTTCTTTTACGTTGCTGTTGCATTATTGCGTGTTTAGTAGCATGTGCTACATAATCTTTGTCAGAAACACCCTCCACAGGAAGACTAGTACATACTCCATTATAACCATACAGACACACAAATGAACCTCCTTCTCTAGAACAATGCTGATCTCTTAAGTGTCTGAAAAAGATTACATTATCATACGATAACAACTGTTACATTACTCAGACTATAATACAAGAAAACTCAAATATGTTATTACAAATAATCATAATTGTATAAATTAAATATATACGAATAAACGTAATCGGCATATAAAATAGAGAATTTAAAATAATTGGATTTGCTTCCTATGCAACGTTAGAAAATTAATCGATGTAAAAGTGAATTTATGTGAATAGTATTATTCATTACAGACAGACTTTGAACACATAGACCCACCTTATAAAATCTTCTATTTGCTTGAACGTAAGGTTAGCACAATATTCACAAATTAGAATCGAAGACAGAGATTCGAATTCTTTTATAATTTTCGCCATTTTTTACTTTCAACATTACTTCACCATTCTGTCAGTATTTCTTTTACTTTATAACTCATTAGAATCTATTAATGATATACGTGGAATTTTAACAATTTTTCATACGATTACACTTATTCCTTATCGTTCGGTGTCGAACATATTCTTACTCTATCACGAATATGCATTTGACGAGCCGTGCTAACCAATGCTAACCAATAACCCTACTATTTTGGTGACTTGTACTTTTACAAAATGTTCCTATAAGCATATAGGGAAGCACGATAGAATAGTGATGTGGGGAAAATAGGTCCCACCACTTGGTTTCTAGTTAGTAAATCTTTAGACACTTCCGAATTTAGAAAATCACGTACTGACAATACTGACAATGAGTAATGATAAGTTGAGAACATCTGTTCCAACTGTAAAAATTATTCTATCCAATGCGTAAACATGAGCTAAGATAATTTAATCTTGCTTTCAATTGAAAAAGATTTAATTGAATTATGAGACGTTTTTGTTTCATCGTACAATTCATGTACATTGAAGATGTATATTTTTGTGCAGCACAGCAATCAAAATGATATTTTTATTTTTAGTAAACAATAATTAAGTATTCTTACGAGTATTAATGCAAAATAAAACAGTTTTGTTGACATCTTTTTTATTAATTGTTATAAGAGTTTGTTTTCGTTAATGTTCTTTGTCAGGGTTACTCATATGTACACTTATGTTCCAATATTCATCTATTTTTTCATTATTGTTATCAAAATTAGAATTCATCAGTAGGTATAAAGTCATCTAATAAACTTGGTATAAATATATATCACAAAAAGAGCCAATAAAAATATACACTGTATAGGAATAAAACATACTTCAATTAAGAAACTTAGGTAAATAAGGATATGAAAATATTATCCTGTTTTACAAATCTGTTATAGTTTTGTATAATGTGCAATAATAACAGAAACTGCATCTATTTTTATTGTTATTACCATAAGAAATTTTTCCTAGCACTGATTTGAACTTTTAATAATTTTTAAACAGCCTAATCCACTTTTCACTTCTGTTGTTGCAGGAAGAAAGTTTCAATTTTTAGTAAGAACCTTGTTATGTCATAAACGTATCATACATGCATCTTGTCTATTACCGTTGCATCCAGTTACATTAATCTTTTTGTTAAATTTTACAGATTGATTGACAATTTAGGATGCTCATTGTTCTTCGTTTCAATCACCATTCATTCAATTGAACATAAAATTTATGCTTTCAAATTCACAGTTTCATTGTTCACTATTAGAACTGTTAGTCTGAGATGTTGAGGATGAAGAAGATATATTTTCATGGTTTAATATGTTTTCACGGTTTTGATGTGCTTGATCTTGCTGACGTTGATGCTGACTACGGTGCACCTCCAGTGCTAACAATTTTTGCCTCTTTTCTTCCATCAAACGTTCACGATGCTTGTGAATATAATCATTCACATTCGGTAAACCCATAATCACACAGGCTGATAGCGCAGAACGGTAAACATTCATATCTGTTGCTTCATACCTATAAAATGTTAAACTTAATGGTAAGACTAGTTTTCATTTACTAAACGTCTACCTTTGTAAACTATAGGTATTCTAAAAATAGAGTTCATTGATAACATTTACCATTCATTTGTCTTCTCATCATAGCACTCAACATGATAGATGGTGGTAACCCCATTAAATCCACCAATAGCGAAAATCATGTCGTCGATCACTTCGATTGCAAAATTACTACGTGAATTGTACATATCTGGAATTGGTGTCCAAACATTGGTAGTAGGATTATACCTCTCTCCACTGCACATTCTGGATATTCCATTGAAACCTCCTGTTGGAAAAGTATTATATCACAATGATAGTCAAGATCTCAAGAAGCCTCAATCAATTATGAGATATATTTATGAAATAATTACCAATTACATATACATGGCCATGATAAGCTATGCACGATACGCCACTTCTCCGCGATCTCATCGGAGCAATCATCGTCCATTGATTGGTTTCTGGATTGTATACCTCAGCAGAATTCAAGCACTCGTGTCCATTGAAACCACCCGTTACATAAATTTTATCTGCGTTACAAATTAATATGAAGTGATAACTAGAATATGAGAAGATGAGGGAGAGCCTAAGAGAGCCTTATTGTATGATCCAAGTTTATGTGATACATAGTGGAATATATGTTAAATTATACCATTTAAAGTAGTTGCACTAGCATCCGATCTTTGGCAATTCATGGACGCTATGAGGGACCACTGATTCGTTTTATAATTATAACGTTCTGCGGTACTTTGTCGATAATATCCATCATATCCTCCCATTGCGTAAATCAGATCATTGAGTACAGCAACGCTAACGTAACACCTGAAATTTTCAACACAGTCAAAAGTATGTACTAAACAAATTTGGTAAAAACATAAGTGAACCATTTAGTTAATATGTCAGTATAATTTATAGAACAGAATGAATAACCTTCTGGCATTCATGGGAGCAATTTCCCTCCACACTTTGGTGACAGCGTTGAAGCAACGGCAACTGTTAAAGTAATCAGACCCGTTGAAACCACCGATTACGTAAATGTTAAACCCAACCACAGCTGTACTATGATAGGCACGAGGTCCGATCGGATCTACCTCTTCCACCTTTCAAAATAACAATAGACAGCAGTAGGTGCTAAATAATTTTTTGTGATTAAGTAGTACAGTAGACTCTCATTGTATTGCCTACTGAGCAAGTTCATCATACTACTCTTTATGTACACTAGCGACATTTTTATACTATTGTAGCGCATCTTCCATTGCTTACTATGCGTTGTATGGTCAAACATATTGTCACGCGTTATATCACCATTTGTTGTCATGCGTTATATTGCCGCATGTAGAATTTTCACGCATCATAGTACAATGCATTTATAGTACCTTGTCTTGTATTACCATGTACTTTACTATTACATGTTGTACATACTGCCACATAGTGCAACTTTTATTACTACTTGTTATATGGCCACCGATTACAAAGCGTTACATTGCTATACATTGTATATCTTCTATTTAGTGATTTCGACCATCAAGTGCTACATGAAAGTTTCATTTATACATTACAAGAATTTATCACAGCCCCGTTCTTGGCAATATAGCGAGAGTCCACTGTACTAGAAGTACAGAAAAGACATATACCTTAACCCAACGATCCGCTCTAGTGTCATAGGTTTCAATGAAGTTTGTAGGGCTGCTGCCACTCCAACCACCTATGGCGAACAGTATTTCATGGGGCACCCTTGGCCGTGCGATCTTCGGCGTGGGTATTTCTCCGTCCTTTTGCGTAATAATCTCGAGATCGTACAAAAATTTTAAGGTTTCGATAATGATAGGCCGGCAAGCGTCGTTTCCAGTAACGTACGGATGATCTTTCACATTTTCCAGGAAGAACTGCGTATCCAGGAGTCCGAGGCGAATGTTTTTCATCAAATCGACTATATACTTTTTCCGAGCTTGCGGATCGTGGTCGATCCATTTCAGCACCAGCTCCCAAACCGTGTCCTCGCTTTTCACATTCAATTCGTCAGCACCAATTAACGCCGTTAACTCTTCTATTGGCAGCTCTAGGATTTCCTTGCTTCGTTGAGCTACCTGCGTCCAATACAATTTATTGCACTGACGATTTACTGCAAATGTCTGACTACTATGATTAATTCCTGGTTTTATCTAGTCATCAATATTGTCTGCTACTAGTCATATGGTCTAAGAATGGCTAGCCCTAATATTAGCTAGGTTTAACCAGAAGAATGTTAAAACCATAATTGTCAGTAGGATAATTTAAGGCAGGTAGAAGGATAATGACCTGCACAAAATATCTCATCACATAACGATACGTGCTGTTCTCCAGCCCCTTGCAAAAGTGTTCTCTAGCGAATCTCATCACGCTGATACAATTTTCTGGAGCTAGATTTTGCTTCAGGTACTCGCAACAGAGTTCGAGGACACCCAGAACGTTCAGGTAATCCGCGGTGACCAGCAGCTGGTACACGTTCTCGTTGTTTATACTGATGGACCGCAGGTATGCGTATTCCAGAAGCAGGTTCATCATGTTACTAGTGACACCTGGTAACAGCACGTCCGTTTTCTCCCGACAGTGTAACGTGGTCGTGAACAGAGTTCTGAAAATCAATGAGTTTTTGGATGCAAGGAAAGAAGTGAACATGGAAAATTAATGATAGAAAGTTGGAAATTTGGTGTACCTAAAATATGGACTACACGCCGAGAGAATTGCCCGGTGAATCGGGAATATTCCGCCATCTTCCAATCTTATAACAGCATCGCATAGAAGATTATTCTGTCTAAAATCATAGAGAGATTGCATCGCCTGGGTGCTCATGCATCGTCCACCACTCTCGGCGATTAAACGTTGCGTGTTCGTTTCGCAAACATCGATATCTTTGTCGCTGTCATTTGAATCAACATCCATATCAAGGTTTCTGTTCCAAAAGTCCCCGACAAAGACGAACCACGTTATCCAATTTTCAAAGATTCAAACCAAAGTTCTCTGCTTAGATCGCCGTTAAACCTAAACCTGAAGAACTTTCATCGAAATCGGTATTTATTCCCGAACGTCATTGTAAAAGATGACGCGTTTCTATTGTCTCTTACCTGCAAAACGAATAGTATTTAAAGAACTTTATTAATTTTTAGTTGGCCCAAAAGGTTAGAGTTTCGCGCGGTTGTCAATGCTTTCGATCAACTGAACCTTGCAATTTACACGAATTTGATCTTCAAATTAGTAGTTCCAAGTGGTGCTTTTCGTCGAATAGGATTTACATAATTAAGGCAAAGTAAATGAGATTCATACGCGTTGCAATTTCGGATGTGTCAAGTGGACACGTGGACGGACGGACTTGAAGACCGGATTGCACGATAGAGATTTAATAGTGTGTAATGGAACGTGGAGGTGACAGAATGGTACGAACTATTTTGTGTGATTTTAAAAGAGAGTAAATGTCGCTTCTGGCTGTGACATAGGTCTTACATGTCCGCCGTTCAGTCTAGGACTGTATTCTAACAAATGAGGATTTTGGTGACAAGATTCATGATGTTTTTCAGGACTGAAATTGGTCGTGGCTTGATAACTTGACATATTCAGTTCGTATGAACTTCCCAAGTTCACCAATCTCATCCAAAATAAATTGCACATCTTTATTAATCATACTACACTCCATTTATCCTACATAAGTACTCATACCACATTTGAAATAAAGTCACTATCGTACATTAATTATGCAAGAAACATGGATACAGTGTTCATAGTCTGTTCACAAAATGTCCGCTCCATTTTCTTCTCACCATTCTCTTCGTCGATATCTTTCCCCCCTTTCAGTTTCTCTTCCTCCACTTTCGAACACTTGTCTTCCCTATTTTCCTTTACCTCTCTCTCCTCTCTCTGGCAGAACGTAGAACTGCAGAGTTTGAGGTCGCTCAGGGACATCATCGACATCGTCGAATAGCACAACGTAGGTATACTCATGCTTTCCGACACGTTGCTCACAAAGGTGTCCCATTTCTTCCCGACGTCCGCCATTTCCTTGATGGACTCCACCATTTTGGTCTGCGTCTCAACCGCATTGGTTTCCCGCTCGAATATCCGGAACGTCCACATGACCACCGTGAACGTGATGGCGTTCGTCGGGAACGCTCTCAGGATCGTCGAACTGAGACCTCTGTACAAACAAGAGTAGCCCTCCGTTTTGATCGACTGTCTCAGGCAGTCCATCATCCCGTTGTAACGGTGTCCGTCAATCGCCTGGATCCGGGACTTCAACACATCCAAAGGATACGAAATTATCCAGGACGCGGAGCCAGCGATGCCTCCCGCCAACAGCATGCACGGTGTGGACACCGCACCTGGTCCGGATGTTCTGGTTAATGCCTCGTACGTGAGGAAATACGTCCCGAAGCTCGGTGCTTCCCTCAGGAACGTGATGTTTAGACCTCTGAACACACCACGGTACCCCTCCTGCTGATACGTGTGCCACAGACACTGCGCTGGGCCGGAAAACCGAGACGAGGACGCCTGTAACTGCATGCGGGTTTTGGCTAACTCGATGGGACTGCAGATTGGACTCTGAGCTATTCCGGCCAGTGCACCGGCGATGAAGTGCGAGCGCAACGAGTCGGGATCGGGGATGTGTCGTTGTGTTTGGCCGTAGATTCCGAAGATTATGGCGTTTACGACTGCTACGCCTGCTACTGGGGATGACATGCCTCGGTAGAAACCAGCTACCTGGTGGAATCAGTTGTATTAATTGATTGTGTGGATGATTGCGAATTGTGGGAGGTGATTGATTTGTATATGTTGATTGTATGAATTTGTTGTGTGGGTGAATAAGTAAATAGGGGGTGGAAGGTTTGTCGAATAAAAGAAGGTAATTTTAGGACTTTGGGTTTTTGAGACTTAGGACTTTGGGGATTTGGGGACTTTGAGACTTTAGGACTTTGGGAATTTGGGGATTTTGAGACTTTAAGACTTTGGAGACTTCAGAACTTTGGACATTTAAGGAATTGTAGATGATGGGACTTTGGGAACTTGTGGATGTGGGGACTATGGGAATTTGGAGACTTGTTGATGTTGGGACTTTGGGAATTTGGGGATTTTGACGCTTGGGACTTTGAAGACTATTTTTGCAATTTGGGAACTTTGAGACTTTAAGACTTTGGAAGTTTGAGGACTTGTAGACGTTGGAGCTTTGAGAATTTGGGGACTTGTGGATATGGAGACTTTGGGATTTGGGAACTTCGACGCTTGGGACTCTGAAGAGACTAGGACTTTGGGAATTTAGGAACTTTGGAGACTTGGATCTTGTTCTTTCTTTATTCATGTACCGATTCTTCTGCAAGTATCGTACGAAAGCAGTGCCAGTTGCCTTTGTACTTCGGTTTACGATAGTCTTGTGTCTGCATGTGAACCTTGATGGTGTCCAGAGGATATCCCACCATAATACCGGCGCACCCTAAAATGCATTACATATTTTACTATTTTAATTCTGTCAATTTTATTTCAAATATGTATTTGTACTAAATTACATCCATCATTAGAATAAGTTACAAAAACTGTAAATCTTCACGTATGTACACAATCGAATCTTTTCATTTTATACTCTTTTAGAGTGTTTTCGTTTTTACAATAACTCTTACACAGTCATTTCTCTTAATAGAAAAGATATTTACGATTTTCTTTAGGAGTATAATGAGCATCACAGAAAACAGTCAATTTTGCATTAAGAATAATTTACCTTACCGACTGAAGATTAATTATTTATTTAACAGAAAACAATGCTTTTTAGCAGTAATATTACAATGTAGTCTTGAATTAAAGGTCTTACATTAATCTTCAAGACTGAAGTAAATCTAAATTTCATTTTTTCAGAAATTTACATATATATTCAAATAAATTAATAATCTTGTAGTGGAACCATTAAGACTAATAATAATTAGAAGCTTTCATTTCCTCTCTCATTTCTATTTTTGCAATTGTAAGTTATTTTTTGTTGTCTTTTCAATCTCTACATACAAAAGTATTTCTTTACAAAATTTAAGTATTGAACTTGGATCACAAGTGTCTTTGAACCCCAAGTTCAATAAATTCAAATATTCTCAAACTTAATAAATATCCCTATCAAAAAGCCTTAATCGATTTCCTGAAAATAAACTAAAAAACACCAACGATAACATCAGACAAAAACACTGAATATCGGTCGTTTACCTCCCAGACATCCAGCAAGAAAATCGACTGCCATTTTCTTCTACCAGCGATCCCTACACGCTTTTTCCAGCTGTACAGCGAATATGAACCTTGAAGATTTTTATTTCTATAGAATCTCTCTGTAACGTTCGTTAACGATGCACTGATGCAAGTGTAAGCCACAAATCGTTTTTCTTCTACAGCTGAAGAAATGAAATCCATGAAAGGTTGATCACTGTTCGGTACTCGGGCCTGTTAATTCAATCATTTAACTATTGTTGTAATTTTCCTTCAATAGGTAGTTAATTTCATTTCAAGCTTCAAATTTTAGAATTTTATTAGTCTCAAAGTATAATACTTCAGATTTGAATACAGTTGTAATTTTATTTAACGTCTGAGTTCGTTTATTGTACTCATCTGCACGTCAATTATTTGCGAATGGAGAATTTATACAACAGATGACAATTTATACACCAAATTTATGCAAAATCTAATAGTATTGAACATACAATTATTTTAATAAAATTATCATATATTTAGTTTTGTTCTTAGTTCTCAAAAAATAAGATTTAATGCTAGTTGAGCAAAATGATGGGTTGAATTAAGTTTAAGTTACTTTTGTATTAAAGTAAGTTATCAAGTGAAATTTTCGAAAATTCTGACCAAACTAGCAATAGTACAAAAAATTGACAAGAAGAAATATTTGAGTTTTCAAAGCAAATCTCCAAACCTGAGACTTCGTTGAACTCTAGTGACTCTACTCGTACTTGTGACGGGTACAACAGCAAATAACGTGGAATACCAACTAAAAAATACTTGCCAAATGATACGGCATCGCTACATCTCTAATCTCACTAATCAACCAATTTTTTTCTTCGACTCTTCACCGTTTATCCTCGTTTTCGCTGCGAATTTTCACGAAAACTTCTTCAACGCTTACATGACCGAATAGAATTCCACACTGGTTCTATCTGTTCCGTCGAGTTTGTTTCGTTCTTGGTGTTAAGATTATGCTAACATTATCAACGAACGCGTCTTCAACTTATTGCGCGGACAACGTTAACAGCATCCGTGCAGCCTGTACGACCTATCGCTGTGAAGAAACAACTTGAGGGTCAACTGTTGATAACAGGTCGTTTTTCTTTATTCGTGGTATCCAATCAAATTATTTGGACTTGCGGTTTGTGCTTGATAAACAATTATGTTCGATTCATAGCGCAGCTGTGATATTTGTTTTATTCGTTTTTGGGTATTTGGAGGATGAGGGACGATGTGGGATTTAGATTTTTGACTTAGGTGAGTTTTGGGAATTTTTGAAGTTTTGGGAATTTTAGGAGTTTTTGGAGTTTTGTGAATTTTAGGAGTTTTTGGAGTTTTGTGAATTTTTGGAGCTTTAGGAGTTTTAGGAGTTTTGGGAAATTTTTGAGTTTTAGGAGTTTTAGGAGTTTTGAGAGTTTTAGGAGTTTCAGGAGTTTTTGGAGTTTTAGGAGTTTTAGGAGTTTTAAGAGTTTTTGGGGTTTTGTGAGTTTTTGGAGCTTTAGGAGTTTTAGGAGTTTTGGGAAATTTTGGAGTTTTCGGAGTTTTGAGAGTTTTAGTAGTTTTAAGAATTTTGGGAGTTCTTGGAGTTTTTAGAGGCTTAGGAGTTTTTAGGAGTTTTTGGAGTTTTAGGAATGTTAGAAATTTTTGAAGTTTTAGGAATTTTAGGAATTTTAGGAGTTTTGGGAGTTTTAGGAGTCATGACACTTTAGGTGTCTTAAAGCTTTTCAGCATAATAGTGATTTTTGAGATTACTGGAATTTTGAGACTTTGGACCATTGAGATTTTAGTATTTTTAAATTTTTGGACTTCAGGACTTCAAAGCATTGAGATATTACTATCTTAGAATTTTTTAACTGTAGATATTAAAAATTGATGTTTTGAAACTTTAGTTTTAATATTTGTAAACTATGTAATATTGAAATTTTGACCACTTTGGACTTCAACAATTTTTAGTACTTGATGATACTTTAAGATTTTAAACATCAAAATATGGGTGTCTTAAAATGTTTTAGTTTCAAGAGTTTAAGTCATCAGATTTAGGTATTTTATCGTTTTGGGACACTGAAATATTAGAATGTTGAGACTTTAGAATACCTTAGTTCACAATTATGGGACTTTGGGAACATTGTGCTGTGCAATTCCTATAGAACTCTTCTGTAACTTACTAAATATGAAAATAGCGGATTCTGGGACTTTAGGATTTATGAAACTTGTGATTTTCAGCATCAGAACTTTGGAACACGAATTTCTCTAATACACCACAAGCCAGTAGGTTGCAGAAAATTACCATTTGTGAAAGTAGCAATAAATTGTTGGTCATAATAATTTTATTTGCGTGTTTTGCCATTTTTATTTATCAAAACCTTGTCATCATTGATTATAGTTAATTTTAAATTTGTGCATCGACCACTTTCTTTTTTTTTAGAAAAATAACATAACTTCTACTTTTATAAAATAATTGTTATTTTTATAAAATAAAATTGTTTACATTATTTCTTAATCTACACGCAAAATGTATCTACATTAAATCATACAAAACATAAAATAATAACGATCTTGCTTATACAAGAAGCTATATCACATATTGCATCTTAATAATTTACAAACTTCTTATTAATTTTGACATTCTTTTATGCGAGTCAATTTTATCAATGCCTTACAAAACACTGTTTTTAAAGAAACCGCAAAACAATCATTTACAATTATAAAAAGAATAAAAGGAGACAATGTAATCTGATGATAAATTTGTAATATGGTTTAACAACAGAAACAGATAAAAATAAAGAATATTTTGTCGGTGTTTTTCTGAAAGCTTGCTTTGGTCTGTCCAGTTCTACGCCATCCATTTTTTAAATTATTCCGAAACGTAGACAAACAAAATGGATATTCCATATTAATACTCCCCTCTCTTTGAATATGGAATATTATTTTTGAATACGTATCGTATGGTGATTTTGTTCGCAATCGGGGATATTTTCTATTAACCTGTGGCGGCATCTCATTAAAATTGATCTGCGCAACGTGATCAGAACCAGTCCTATCAAGGCGCTCAGCTCGTGAAAATCGTGACTGTTGTCTGACCACTTTCACATTCGTGCTGACTATACTCGCAAAATGTACGCGAAAAATGTGTCCACGACGCAGGCGAATTCGAGAGACAGTGCCCCAGGCGAGTCAATCACCGATACGGTAAGAATACAAATTTTTTTTTGAAGAAATAAAACCTATTTCTTAGACAAGCTTTGAAAATAAAGAAGTAATAAAACTGAAGTGCATTTGTTATCGGATATCAAGAGTAAGCTAACGTTTGCGTTAATTTTTAATTCTTTTTTTAATCTACTTGTGACGGTGTTTTGAAATTGGCGCCGAATTCGAAGCATTTAAATTTTGTTATTGAGTCCTTGTTTTATGGAAGAATTTTATGTCTCGTCTTCTTTTATGGAGGAGTTTTATGTCTCGTCTTCTTTGAAGTCATATTGCTTATGTTATTTGGCAGGAATTTATTCAGTTTGTTTTTGACGAATTTGGCGGCAAATTTGAAGTGTTTAAATTTTGCTATTTATAAGTAGTGATTTTTTAATTTATGTAAGAGTTTTGTGGTGCATCTAGTTTTTTAAGGTGAGTTTTGCAGACGTTATTTAGAAAGAATCCATTTACTGTTTTTATTGAATTTGGCGCCAAATTTAAAATGTTTAGACATTGCTATTTATAAACAGTGATTTTGTTGATTCATATAAGAATTTTGTGGTAAATCTAGTTTTTACGATGATATTAGCATACATTATTTAGCAAGAATCCATTTAGTTTCTTTTTATCGAGTTTGGCGGCAAATTTGAAATATTTAAATATTATTACTTATAGCCAAAGATTTTATTGTTTTACGTAAAACATTTTGTGGCGTATCTAGTTTTTTAAGGCGAATTTTGCATACGAAATATTGAAAGAATTTAATTAGCTTGTTTTTATTGAATTTGGCGCCAAATTTAAAACGTTGAAATGTTGTTAGTTGCAGCCAGCGATTTTATTGATCTCTTAAAAAATTTTGCGATATAACTAGATTTTTAATGCCATTTTTGTATACGTTATTCGTGCACAATTCAATTAATTTGTTTTCTTTGAATTTGGCGCCAAATTTAAAACGTAACTATTTCATTTCAATCACTTTAGAAAAACCCTTAATTTTTAAAAATATTTATAATTTTATTACAAAACGGTTTTATTGTGAAATTGTGAATTTATGCAAAATATATGAAAAGGAATGAACGTATGAAAAGATCTTAGTCATGAATGGCTTTTGCGTTGTACTCTTATCAGCATCGCACCCATATCATATTAATCGAAACTATGCAGTACGTTGTTTATAATCAAATTGTAAACTTTACATTACATAAATGTTATGTAATTTCTATAACGAAATTATGCAAATTTCTAAAACTAAATTATGTAATTTGATGAGTTATATAAATTAGAGAAGACATGGTTGTTCCCCAATATTATAGATTTAAGATGAATTATATTTATTCAAATTATTCTTAATAAATCAACTAACATTCGAATAACAAAATACAGATAATTTTTAAAACAAATACAGTTGAAACAAACGTATAAATATTTAACAAGTATATGTCAAACTATCTAACAAATTATAAGTATATGTTAAACGAAAGACTATAATTATGTATTTTATCGTGCACATAAATCACAAACGATTACCATTAGTGTCGCATGATATCACACCGAGCACAATACCGGTTTTTGAACATATAATGGTAATATAGTGATTTTAAATTTAAATTTATGAGATACCAATGTTTACATTTATCCTATTTCATTTACAACGGTCATCAAGTTACAAAATGAAAAGCATCGAATAAAATTAATTTATTAACAAAATTACATTAAGTTAAAAAATGAAGAACCTCTCTTTTTATTCAGTCAGTTTAATTAAAAATATTCAACAACTTTCTACATTAAATGCAATTAAGTATACACTCGTGTTCTGAAAGCATGATAAAGTAGTTAAGAAAACTTACAAGGAAATTAATGAGTTTCTTACATAAACATTATTATTGATGACCTGTTGCATAATCTATAGGCAAGTACTTAGTATTCATTGAAATATAGATTGAATATCGTTCAGGGATTACCCATTCGGGAATAATTTTCCGGTAAAATTTCCCTGGAGTTTTATTTAGAGCGTGTGATATAAGAATTAGATGATACAAATAATTTAATTAATTATTGCGGTGTATTTATTTAGAGGATACTTAACATTAATATACGAAATTTAATATGTAATAGTAGTTGATAATGTTTACAAATATTAGGACATAAATTATGGTGTTCAGAAAAACACCTAACCTAACTTAACCTAGCCTAACATAAAACATAACTTGATTTAAGTTAATTTAAGTAAAACTATAATTACTGGATCTAGACAAGTGAAGTGCTAGGAATATTTTTCTTTTGATAGAATCTTTCATTTATAAATTAATTATTTGTATGTGATTTTATAAATTTTTAAATTGTGAAATTATGAGATTATCAATTTATCTAATTATTAAATTATTAAATTAGTAAAATAGTTAATGAATGAATTATTGAATTATTGAGTTATTGAGTCATTGAGTCATTGAGTCATTGAGTTATTGAGTTATTGAGTTATTGAGTCATTGAGTTATTGAGTTATTGAGTCATTGAGTTGTTGAGTTATTGATTTATAGAATTATTGAGTTATTGAGTTATTAAGTTATTAAGTTATTGAGTCATTGAGTCATTGAGTCATTGAGTTATTGAGTTACTGTGTTATTGAATTATTGAGTCATAGAGTCATAGAGTTATTGAGTTATTGAGTCATTGAGTCATTGAATTATTGAGTTATTGAATTATTGAGTTATTGAGGTATTGAGGTATTGAGTTATTGAGTCATTGAGTTATTGGGTCATTGAGTCATTGAGTCATTGAGTCATTGAGTTGTTGAGTTATTGATTTCTTGAATTATTGAGTTATTAAGTTATTGAGTTATTGAATTACTGAATTTCCAAATTACTTCATTTTCCAAATACTAAATTTTCTAATTACTAATTTTACAATTACTGAATTTCCAAATTACTTCATTTCCCAAATACTAAATTTTCTAATAACTAATTTTGCAATTACTAAATTTCCAAATTACCACATTTCTCAAATACTAAATTCTCTAATTACTAAATTCTCTAATTACTAAATTTTCCAATTACTAAATTTTCGAATTACTAAATTTCCAAATAATCTAATTCCCCCATTACTAAATTCCTAAGTAACTAAATGTTTAAAATTACCAAGTAAACAGCAAAAACTTCTTTTTACAAATTTCCAAATTCCCAATATGTCAACTTTCCATTTATCCCAAAATCATCAAATCTTCCACTTTCACAATACTAAAAAAATACCACATTTCCCCACAAGCAAAGTAATCACTAAATTCCCCAACAAAATCTCTCAAATTTCACTCTTTAAAAAACACCATCCAGTTTTTAATCAGAAATTAATAAGCAGCACCACGAATGGAAATAAACTAAAGACCATATTCAAATGCGTGACATTAACCAAAAAAATGGTACAAAACTATTTTAAATTCAACAAAAGTCATCGAGTGATCATCGACCTTGATACCTAGCTGTATCGATCGTAATCAAGAATGATGCAAAACTGTCCAAAATTACATGTACGGGTGAACGTGTCCCCTTCCTTTGTCGTTTCTTTCGTGGAGGGATGCCTGAGCGTTTTTGTTATACAGTTTTTCTACGATAAACATTTCTGCAGTTTCTCCGAAGGATGGGAAAATGTAGCGATGTGAAGTGTACAAAAGAGGGGATCGATGGTGTTCGTATAAAGTGGACGCGTGTCAGGTTAACGAAGTGTAGTTTCCGTAAGAAACTCGTCGAAGATCCTAACTTCGCGACATAACTGGAATAATATCTTTGTTTACTCCGTTGCGAGGAATTGTATCAAGGCCGTCCTCATGATGCACGACGTAAGGATATTTCTAATTTGAAATCTTGCATTTTCAATGTTGAATGCATTATTGTAATTTACCTTGTACTCGCGAACGTAAAAGTGGACGGATAACTTTGCGAAAATGTGCGGAACAGAGGCGGTTCGCCTTGAAATATTTGCCATTAAAAGTAGCAAAGTTATTACGGCTACTTTTATTACGATTAGAGGTTTATGGAACGAATGGCGCGATTTTGTCGACGTGTGCGGAGCGTGTGATGGAGAAGGCTTTTAGTGATTTTACGAGTTCTGTGGTGTTGTTTTAATTTCCTGATTTTGGGGCTTTGAGGTGATACATTTTTTGGTTTGACTTTTTGTTTAATTTTCACAATTGTTAAATTATCAAATTGTCAAATTGTCAAATTATCAAATTGTCCTATTCCCAAATTGGCCAATTCCCAAATTGTCCAATTCCCAAATTGTCCTATTCCCAAATTGTCCTATTTACAAATTGTCCTATTCCCAAATTGTCCTATTCTCAAATTGTCCAATTCCCAAATTGTCCTATTTCCAAATTGTCAAATTCCCAAATTGTCCTATTCCCAAGTTGTCCTATTCCCAAATTCTCCAATTCCTAAATTGTCTTATTCCCAAATTTCCAAACTACTAAACTCCCCAATTACCAATTTCCAAAATCACTATATCAATAAATGACTAAATCATCAAATTTCCAATTTTCATATTTTAACACTACCAAACTCTCAAATTACCATCCAAATTTTTAAGTAATTATTATTTTTAAAAGCCTAAATTGATACACGGAGGAAACTACATCAAGGAGGGCAAAGACTCGGCCAAAAGCACTTGTCTGATTTTTTCTCCCGCAGATGAAGATTCCGTCGGAGCTTTGGGAAGATATCTTCAATTATTTGCTGTGAGTATAACAAACATTATTTATGTACAAATAAATCAATTTGAAATTGTAAAACATACTTCATCATTTCATTTATGCCTGAACACATCTAAAAAATGTAAAGAATAACTACATTTTAGCAAATATCTCGTTATCTATCAGTCGTACGACAAAAATATTTATTACAAAATTTGTAGCCTGAGCAATTTCCTACAAAAAAGGTTCTCTTCCTTTTTTTCGTAGACGCATTCATTCTCGAGGTAATATCATATTTGTCTTCGTACTTCGCAGCTCTGTCCTCACTAGCTTGAAATAAATAAATAAAATCTTGTTAGAAAATAATTTTTATGCATTGACACATTGAACAGAGGGTACTGATTGAAAACTATACACCTATTTTCACAGTAATAAACAATAGTTGATAAGCATTTATTCGTAATTTTAACAAATGTGTTCGATCAGCTACGTATGACCTGCAATTTGTCGATAGCAAAAAAAGATGAAACTTGTACTGTATTTACTTGCACTATCATTCACTTGCAATTTCGACCGAACATTTCCAGGAACATGAAGTCAATTTATTGCACATCGAATCGAGAAGCTCGCTTCGTCACGCGAGCACGTACGAATTCATGGTGGAATGTGCGCCAGGTGGAAACCTTGGAGCCGTCATAGAAAATTTGCGCAAGCAATGTACCTATTTCTCAGTCATTTCTAGGTAAATATCAGAAAGATGTGGTGGTATCGCTACAGTTTTTCATTGATCATTTTCTGAATAGAAACCATAAAGATAATATGGGAACCGTGCCATGGTTCCCGAGGAGGATCAGGGACCTCGACAAATTCGCGAACCAGATTCTTTCTTACGGGGCTGAGCTCGACAGCGATCATCCGGGATTCACGGACCCGGTTTATCGACAGAGACGCAAATACTTCGCCGACATTGCTTACAATTACAAACAGTACGTTTTTATATTAATTATTGCAAAATATGCAAAGTTGTGACATTAATTGTACAAAGTGGTATGGCATCGTTTAGGAGTTAAATGAAAAATCTGTGGATTTTATTGAATATTGTTGGCAGATGTGTCTGGTGAGTTGGCAGATGGACCAATGGAATATGCATTGCTTTCAGCTGCCATCTTTCTAGACGCAAATATCGTATGAAGATATGGAAGTCCTTTTTTAAATTTTTTAAATCTTACAATTGTTAATACTCAACTTTTTTAAATTTTAAGTTTTCACTTTTTCAATGTATCTTACATGGACATTTATAATTATTCAAGTAAATTATAGTAGATAGTTGTTAATTTATGAACCTATTAATTTCAGTGGTCAACCTATCCCCAGAGTAGAATATACCAAGGAGGAAATCGAGACCTGGGGTGTGGTTTTCAGGAACCTGACGAAACTTTACCCAAAGTATGCTTGCAAAGAGCATAATCACGTGTTTCCACTGCTCATTGAAAACTGTGGCTACAGGGAAGACAATATTCCTCAACTGGAAGACATTTCTAACTTCTTGAAAGGTAATTATTATTCTAATTAGAATAACACATTTTTTTATAAATAGATGTACATTCTTTTATGGAATTATTTGTAAAAATAGGAATTTAAATGTAAAATTATCTATAAAGATATAGATATAAAATTATCTATAAAAATGCAAATGTACTACCTATAAAAATTTCCAAATACACTTTCATACAGAGTTGCTTATAAAATATACAATTATTCAAAAATATTTAGATGTTAAATTATCTATAAAGATAAAGAATTATCTAAAAAAATCCAAACATTCCTATGTTTTTATTTAGTCAGAAGTTTTAATCATTGCAGTACCAGACATCTCTTCAAAATTATTCGCAAAGTCTGCTACTGAATAATTGCGTTCTTGACTTTTCCTTAATATATATTTTCCTAATCACTTTTTTGTAGATTCAACCGGTTTTACTCTCCGTCCAGTGGCTGGTTTGCTGTCGTCTCGTGACTTCCTTGCTGGTTTGGCATTCAGAGTGTTCCACTCAACGCAGTATATACGGCACAGTAGTAAACCATTGTACACACCTGAACCTGACGTATGCCATGAAGTGCTGGGTCATGCACCATTATTTGCCGATCCTGCATTCGCTCAATTCTGTCAGGTTGTCGGCCTGGCATCCCTAGGAGCACCGGATGAATATATCGAAAAACTTGCGACGGTAATATATTTATATTTATAATTTATTCAAAAAGTTTTTATATACTTTCTTTATATATCCTCGCGTTTTATCGCTATGTGTATTGTTACCATGCATTGCACATATATCGTGTTGATATATGTTGGATTAATAGGCGTTGTTTAGATGTGTATTGTATTACTTTGAATTATATTGCCACGCGTTATATCGCCATTTGTTATATTGCTACGCGATTAAGTATTACGCAATGTTTTACTACGCGTTGCATTGCGATGTATTTCCCTGACATGCGTTATATTGCCACGCGTTGTATTACCACGCGTTGTATTACCACGCGTTGTATCGCCATTCGTTATATCGCCACGCGTTATATCGCCACGCGTTATATCGCCACGCGATTAATTACGACACACTGTTTTACTACGCGTTGCATTACGATGTATTTCTCTGTCATGCGTTATATTACCACGCGTTGTATTACCACGCGTTATATCGCCACGCATTATATCGCCACGCGTTATATCGCCACGCGATTAAGTACGACACACTGTTTTACTATGCATTACATTACGATGTATTTCCCTGTCACGCGTTATATTGCCACGCGTTGTATCATCACGCGTTATATCGCCATTCGTTATATTGCCATGCGTTATTTCACCACGCGATTAAATACTACTTACCGTTTTACTACGTGTTGCATTACAATATGTTTCTTTGACATGTGTTATATTACCACGCGTTATATCGCCAATCATCGTATTACCACGCGTTATATCACCACGCGTTATGTCACCACGCGATTAAGTACTACTCACCGTTTTACTACGCGTTGCATTACAATATGTTTCCTTGCCACGTGTTACATTACCACGCGTTATATCGTCAATCGTCGTATCACCACGCGTTATATCGCCATTCGTTATATCTCCATGCGTTATATTATCACACGGTGCATCATTACGCATTGTATAATTACACGTTCCTTTACTGCATGTTATATCGCCGCGTACTTAGTCACCATGCGTCGCATAACCACACATTTAGTTACTATACGTTATATTGCCAAGCGTTCAATCACCATACGTTGTATACCTTTGTGTTTCATTATTACACGTTGTATTACAGCGCATTTATTTGTACATCATTGTTCTACGCGATATATTACCTCGCATTGTATTACCATCTACTGCAACTTGCTAGACTACACGTTATATGACTAGACGATATATTATCACATATTGCGCAACACAGATATGTATACAAAGATTATACGCATATTACTTTAACAAAATTGCAATGTGATTTTATGATCGTCAAATTTGTTACAGTGCTTTTGGTTCACCGTGGAGTATGGTATTTGCCGACAAAATGGCGAACTAAAAGCATATGGTGCCGGACTACTTTCGTCTTTCGGCGAATTAGAGTATTCTCTGAGCGGTAAACCAGAACTGCGACCTTTTGAACCAACGAAGACCGCATTGCAGAAATATCCGATAACGGAATATCAACCCGTATATTTTGTTGCTGAAGACTTCGAAGACGCAAAGCAGAAGATGATGTAAGTAAAACTGTCTAATTTTTATGCAGTCTGATTACGTTATCTAATATACTGCAAAATATGGCGAAGCAAGTTCCATTTACTGTGTATTGATCAGTTACATTTGAATGCGAAATTAATTTGCATGGAAAACAAAAAATGCAATCTTATCTTGTTATTTATGTAAAATAATGCTAATCTTATTGTTTATTTGAACGGATGTAAATTTAATTTGTTTTATTGTTTATCTTAAATGTCATTTATCTCAATATTTATCTAAAGTAATCGAAATTTATTTGTCTATCTATATATGTTATTGTTGGAGTACGAGTATTTTCCATCCTGATTCATGAATGTAATTGACGCATTTGCAATTCTAAAAAACAGGAGTCGTTTATTTGTATGATCTCTGATATGCAGTCAATAAATGGTTACGCAATCATTATTTACATTTGACGAAATGAAAGTTTAAAAGATCTCGAAGAACGCACACCCTCGAAGTTGCATCAAACTGATTACGAGTGAGAAACACGTGATCTTCTTTGTTGATTTCATTAGATAATATTCAGAATATTGCACGAGGTTTTCATTAACATTTTCAATTAATTTGTCGATGTATTTTCTTCCAGAAAATTCGCCGAATCCATACCACGGAAATTCGGGGTCAGATACGACCCGTACACTCAAAGCATCAGCATAATCGACAGTAAATACCAAATCGAAGAATTGATTTACAACGTGAATCAAGAAGTACAAATCCTTATGGACGCTCTAAAGAAACTAAAGGAATAAGAGACAACGAAAGAGAAATAACATTTAAGTTTAGGTTAATCTTTTATTTTAATGATTGAATTTTTCTGATTTTTAATAATTTGTTTTTATATATTATGCTTAATAAGGTTTAAATAAAATGTACAAATGTAATATATCGTAATATTATTTTGAATTACGTTATTCCGAGTACTCATTTCGTGATAAAGGGTAGAATTTAGTAGGACGAAGTTATATTTTATCCAGTCGGTTGTATCCGCTTCCGGTGTCAAAACTTAGAGATCCGGCTACCGATCAATAGGAAAGTACGAAAACTCGATTATTGAGCGAGCGAGACGAACGCGAGGGAAGCTCTTATATTTGACTTTGCAACTTCTTTGTCCGCGTTTTTCTTTTGCACCACTTAACCAATTCTCGTCAAATTTTGCATGCACATGCGTATGTACATCCAGATGGACATAGAAAAAAAATTTTAATCGGACTTACCACGAACGAATAATCACTGAAAAAACTGATCCTAAAAAAGTGAGGGTCCGAACACGCATATAAGAAAAATAAAAAAATGAATATTTCGGCACTTTGACGACGTAGTATGGTTCCTGAGGCATTTAGAAACAAATTTCTATTAGGGTTTGATGCGTTTTGATGCCTAATAAAGTCAGAAAATC